GCTCCAATAAATCGGGCTTTCTTGAGGGAGGATGGCTATGAAAGGAAACCTTTTTCTGTTTGCTAGCTAAACAATGGATACACTTTTTCAGCTTTGCTTGTTTCACTCCAGAAAGCAAACTTTTCTTAGCCAAACACGTAATCCCCCTCTCGCTCATATGACTCAGTCTTCAGTGCCACAATTCTGATAAAGTATCACTTTCCACCAGATTTATGGAGTCATTAAGAATAGAGCCTTGTGTCACATATAATTGACCAGACTTTACTCCCCGAGCTACTACTAACGATACCTTGGTGAGCTTCCATTGGCCATTCTTATCCAATGATACTTTCTATTTATATGTTTGGTCTTAGAATGAAAAGTGGAGTGCTTGGTGAGACAAATAACACTCTAATTATCACAAAATAAGATGTTGTGGCTAGAACTGAACCCGCCAAGATGAACCTGTCTTGAACCTCGCTCGAAGCTGGCTCTGATACCACTTGTTCTTCTATGACAGATTCAAACTTCAAATACCATTGTCTTGGAGCTTGTTTCAATCCATACAGGCTCTTTTTCAATTTGCAGACATAATTTTTTTCCCCCTTAATTATAAAGCCCTCAGGTTGCTCCATATAAATATCCTCATCTAAATCGCCATGGAGAAAAGCAGTCTTCACATCCATCTGCTCAACCTCTAAATCTAGACTTGCAGCTAAGCCTAGAACCACACGAATAGAAGACATCTTCACAACAGGGGAGAAAATTTCATCAAAGTCAACTCCCTTCTTCTAGCCAAGACCTTTAGCAACTAACCTCGCCTTGTATCTAGGCGCAGAGGTATAGTTATCTTGCTTTATTCTGAATATCCATTTGTTAGATAAAGCTCTCTTACCTTTCGGCAATTTCACTAACTCATATGTGCCATTCTCATGGAGTGACTTCATCTCATCTTCCATCGCTTCGATCCACTGATCTTTGTGAGTATCTTGTATGGATTCATCATAATTATCAGTTCTCCCATGTCAGCCAAAAGTACATACTCTTCAGGAGGATAGCGCATGGATTTTTGCTTCTCCCTTGTAGATCTTCTAAGAGAGGTTTCAGGAGCATTCAAAGTAGTTACCTGTGCAGAAATTGGTTGTTGATCAACCATAACTTCATCAACTGGAGCATCCATAACAAAAAGAACATTATTAGTTACTCATTTATAGAAGATTCCCGGTAAGACCATGGCCATTAATTACTCATTTAAGAAAGAGATAAGAGTAATTTAGTCATATAAATCTTATGATTAATAAATGTGTCAAGAATCTTAAACGATATATAAAAATAACTGTTAAATATTTGAAATAATTAATATTCAAAGTGAATATTTTAAACTGCTCTATCAAATAACGTCACTAATATATTCCCTTGGTCCTTTTTCATTTGTCGCCTTAGCCAAAAAATCAAAAAAGGTGTTCTAAAATATTTACCACTTTATTAAATTAAGAAAACATTAACTACTTTTTTCTTCTTCAATATTTCTACTTTTTTCTTCTTGTCAATGTTTCTTTTTCCGTGACTTCTCTGCTATTATATTTCCTTTCAAAAACTGTTGAGATTATGCTATATTCGAGGGTCTATCAGAGACAACTTCTCTACCTTCACAAGATAGGGATAAGGTCGACGTACTCACTACTATTTTCAAACTCCACTTGTGATATTATATTAGGTATATTGTTGTTGCAATCCCATTCCTACTACCTCAAGAAGACATATAGTTATTAGTTACTCATTTAAGGAAGATTCCCCGTAAGACTGTGATCATTAATTACTCATTTAAGAAAGAGTTAAGAGTATTCTAGTCAGATACATCTTATGATTAATAAATGTGTCAAGAATCTTAAACGATATATAAAAATGACCGTTGAATATTTAACATAATTAATATTCAAATTGAATATTTTAAACTGCACTATCAAATACAATCACTAATATACTCCTTTGGTCCTTTTTCATTTGTCTCCTTAGCCAAAAAAAAACCAAACAAAATGGTCTAAAATATTGACCACTTTATTAAATTAAGAAAACATTAGCTACTTTTTTCTTCTTTAATATTTTTAAATGCTTCTTTTCCGTAACTTCTCTACTATTTTTCTTTTTCAAAACTGTTGAGATTATGATATATCAGAAGGTCTATCGGAAATAACCTTTCCACCTTTACAAGGTAGGGGTAAGATCGACATACACACTACCCTTCCCAAACTTCACTTGTAAAATTACACGAGGTATATTGTTGTTGCAATTCAATTCCTACTGCCCCAAGAGGACATATAGTTATTAGTTACTCATTTATGTAAGATACCCAAAGACTATGATCATTAATTAAATTACTCATTTAAGAAAGAGATAAGAATAATTTAGTAAGATACATCTTACGATTAATAAGTGTGTCAAGAATCTTAAACGACATATAGAAATGACCGTTAAATATTTAACATAACTAATATTCAAAGTGAATATCTTAAACTGTACTACCAAATACCGTCACATAAATTTAGACAAAAAGAACAATATTAGTACTAGTTAGAATCCGAAATGGACATGTGGCTTTTAAAAAAGAAGAGAAGACAGCTGAAGTTGAACTGACAAAACGCGCGCCTTACGTTTAATAAAACCATTTCCTATTCCATTTGGATTCGTCCTCCTATATCCAAAGTCCAAACCAAATTAGGAAATTGTTTTTTATTTTATTTTATTTATTTTAAATTATAAATTATTATAAAAAGAAAGTCATAAAACACCACATCATCCCCAATTCAACACAAATTCCCCCAAAAACCTCACGAGAAAAAACACACACATATTAAAAAGGGCAAAAAAAAAAAAGTGGCCAAATCAAAAGTCGCGTATTTTGAAACCTCTACGAACCTTCTTTGCCAGAAGAAAAATCCAATCGTAGATTTATCTTCACACACACACACACACACAGAGTTGGTGTGGTGAAAATTTTGTGATCCTTTTGGGTTGATGAAACGACAGCGTATTGGAATCTCAGAGGACTCGTGAATTTCTAGGCTTTTTTTTTGTTGCTGGATTAGGGTTTCATTATTTGATTGATTGATTGATTGATTGGATTTGGTGAGAATTCTAGTGATATTATTGCGATGATGATGACGGACCAGTCATCGCAGTATTCGTTACCATCGGAGGATTCCGCGGTCGAATTTGGGATGAATTTTGATGAGCTAAGCATGGATATTGACGATATATGGAAAATTATTGACGAGGACCCCGATCCTTCTCTGCCGGTAAATTTTCAATGAATTCTTTGTATGCATTGACAGTGTAAAAAATCTTTACACAATCAAGTCTTGGTAATCTGGTAAAGATGGTAACCAATCTGCTAGTACAGGTTAAATTTCACAGGTAGTATACAAAATCTTTACGGTATCAGTATATATAAGTTAAATCTTTTTGGTAAATCAGGGTTTTACTGTGAATTGAGCATGATCATTTAGTAATAATTTTGTTAGTGGGTAATTCTCGATTCAGTCGGAACTGGACATGCACCTCTTAAACTTTTCTTTTGGTGTGTGTGCGTATATATATGTAAATAAGATTATTGTATAGGGATTCAAAATTTGGGTTTGATTTGGATTGAAATTTAAGTTATATAAACTTACAGTCTAATGAATGTTACTAGCCATTTATGTTAGACTAATGAGCAATGCTTATTGACTAAAGTTACCTACAATTATTTTTAAGTACCGAATTGTGTAAATATTTTTTACGCTGTAAGCGCGTGGAACTTAAACTCTCTAGATTTTGCTTTGAAAGAAAATTTTGTAAGAATTAAATGAATAATTGAGTGTTTACTTTTAGTAGTTTAATGTTTAAGCTTTTAGATTAGATGATTGTACAATTCGGAGATTTTCCATTTAAGTTGGATACATTTGTTGATCTTTATTTATTACGCTCTCTATTACGTCTGACATTACTGACATTCCTTTTAGTCTGTTCCGAAAAGAATAACATCTTTCTCTATTTGGAAACTATTTTAAGAGTTGCGTCTCCATTTACGCTTAATGACATGACTTGTTTGGTCTCACTCGATATAAAAGCTCATTCATTTACTAAGAGAGAGAAAATGTAAAGACATGTGGAACTCCCAACTGACTCATTTAATTATTGGTAGTACGAGCGATATTGGTACTTTGCATATATTTAGTTTATGTGTCAAAAGTCTTCCCTTTATTTATCTTAACTCAGTGCTTAGTCAAACACTTTCACATAAACTGGAACAGAGTGAGTACGTCATAATGTTGTCAGTGCCAATCATTTTCTTCACATGGGAGAGTTTAGCTAAGCTGTTCGACCTTGCCGTGTCGCATTAAGTTGCTGGATAGAGGTCCAGTAAAATTGGCTTTACTGCCCGTGAAATAGAAAATATATTATATAACCTCGATAGATAGTCATTGAACTGAAAGAATATTTATATGTTTGTAATGGAATCTCATATACCTGCCTCACATTATAAGATAATTTTAGAAGAAATAAAAAATTCAACATCTTGAATAAAGAATAATCTCGTGAAAAGACTTTCAAATAAAAGAATTTAGCACTTTTAGACGTGAACAGCGAAATGTCAGTTTTTATCTTGCAAATTTCAGCTAGTGTCATCTTGAAAAAAATCTAATTGCATCTTATTTTCATGATATCTTGCTGCGTAGGATCATGACTCATGAGCTTGCGAGTTGTGGTAATTAACTAGGTTCTGTAGTTACTGGAGATGCATGGCTATGGAGGTGACCCTTGTTCTTTTTGTTGTGTCGTTCAAGGTAGCATGGTGGTAACATGAAAACTGTAAATGTCAAAACACTATGATTATGCTAGTTGAAGGTCCATAACTATCAAATATTTCAAGGCCACTTGTATTATAAGACTGCATATTTTCACACTTCTGTGATGCCTGATTGAATAGCTTCTTTTACTAGTGGGCCTTTTAGCGACGCTCTGTGAAAAGAGAAAGGAAGAGAGAGACTTTTATTGAATTGAGTATTAACAATATACAAGATGGACTTCTTCTACGGGAGTCTTGGTCTCTCTCTCTCTCTGGTTGGGATAAAATAGGTGTAGTAATCGTTTGTTACATACGATGATTTAAGTAATTTTTTAATTTTATTGTAGTACTTTATTATTATTATTATTATTGTTGTTATTTTTATTTTCGATAATATTGGCTTGAGATGAGTCTATATGGAGTAACATGGTCAGTGAGGATTCATATAGTCAACCCCAACTTGTTTGGGAATGAGGCCTAGTTGTTGTAAGTATATAATATTATAAAATGGCCTATGGAATACCTTGAAATATTCTGTATAATCAATATAACATTTCCCTATGTAACAGATAGCATGTGCAGACTCTGAGTCATAATTATAGATGCTTCTAATAAGGTACCTACCTCACGTTTTTTGCCAGTGGTCCTTAATTGACCTTTAGGATGAGATTAATTGCTCTTTGGGAAAACTGGGTCTACTGTGTGATTATTGCAAGAAATTAATATTAGAAGACTTATCAATGAAATACAGAACCTTTTTAGTTGATAGATTCAGGCTTGGTATCTGTTGTCCCATTTTCAAGTCGAGACTTGTAACTGTTGAGTCTGATTGGGATTGGGATGGCCCATTGTGGAGCTAATTAGGTTGGGTGAACTAAGAGCTACTGAAGTAATTTGGTTAGCTGAATCTTGAAATATTAAGGATACTAACGTGTGATTTCTTTGAATACTAGGTAAAACCTTGCTAAATTTCTTTAACACATTAGACTGTTTGAAAGAATACTCCTAAGCTGTTAGATGCTGAGAAATTTGATACCAATGGTTGGTAATAATATGGTCAGAAGCATTAAGGATGTCTTGTGCCTTTTCCAGTATCTGTGGATGGGGTTCTTTTGAAGTATCTGTGGTACTTAAACAGACACATCACATTTGCAAATTTTCATAAATAAAGGGCATGTTGGCAGAAATAATTTGTAGATGTGTTTGACTAAATTGAACAAATGGAAATACTAGATACACTTGAAGTCAGTGAATGTTCAGTAATACATAATATCGATGTTTGGTACTATATTTTAAGTATGGGCTTGTCAAAATGAATAACTTTACTCATGGGATTACTCTTATTTTTAGACATTACACCTTGTAAATTCGAATGGCTTGTTGATTAAGTACTGAGCAGTCGGTTACATTATTGTGTCCAAGACCAAGAGGTGTTGGACCTAGACCCGTAAACTGTTTAAATTGTCCATTGAATGTAGATGGTTAAAATTGATGTCAGGTCAGTTAAATTCCGTTGTTAATGACAAAAAGCTTAATGATTGAAATTATGCCATCAGCTTCACGAAGTAAAAACACAATATAGGTTAAGTAAAGAATATACTGCGAAGTGCTTTGCTTTCAATCTTCGGTCTGGAGATACATATTGTAGATCTGTCATTGGATCACGTGAACAGTTTGGTCTTACAATGCTTACCCAGTTTGTCAATGATTTTAATATTCGGGTATCCTTTTGCAGAGTATGCCAGAGGTTTTTATGCCAAATGACATGGGACAAGGTTAGCTGGTTGCCGACTTGGATACTTATGGAATTTGATGTTGTTACTAACTTGGTGTGAGATTATGGTGCTTATTACTCATCGTGATATTTGATTCTTGATGTTTATGCTATTTTAAGTAGGTTATTCAGATTTGGAGAGAGCTTCATTTTCTGGGGGTCAATTTCTTGGACACATTGGAGTCTCCCCTTCTTCCAACTCAGAAGCTTCAGATTCTAGGACAGGTGTTTCAGATGGTTCATCTGATTCTGCAGGGAATTCAAATGTTGATGGTGGGAAGCTTGAGTTTCAATTAGGGATAGACTCTCCGGTACACAGTTTCTGTGGAAACCTGACTGAACGGAGGCCTGGTCAGGACAATGACTGGTCCACTCATAAGGATAATCTCTCTCGGTGTACTTCATCTAATGTCCAACAAGAAAGTAAGGAAACTCAACCTTCAGATGTCGACTAGTTGTGACACTTGTAGCTTTGCTGCTAATACTGATCATATCAATAATTGATAGAATTTGGACCAGCTATACAATATGTGAAACTCATTAATACCACTGGTTCTCCAGAGCGAGAATCTTGCGCTGAATGTTTCTTGACCTTTTTAGTAGGCATTTCTGTTATTCTCATTTTTGCTCTGAGGTCCTTTTCTGTTGTAAGTTTTCTATTTATTCATTTTTGTTTTTAATCGCTTCGAAAAACGTCATTGACATTTTAGGGTTGCTGCTAAGCCAATCAACTATAGAGAACAAGTTGAGAACCTCAGAAACATTAGCTGCAGAAGAAACATCAAGCATTGAAGTAGCTGCATCTCCAAATGATGAACCCTACGCTGGGTTCAGTTTATGTCAGAGTTCTGATACTTTGCCCGAAAGTTGGGACAAGTTTCCACAAACTTTCCATGCAGATTCTTTCTCGAAGCCGGCTGCACTAAATAACCTTGATTTTGAAATGCTGTCTCACAATGATAAGATGCTAAATATAATGGACGGACAATTGGACCATACAACTGGGATTGCAGACTCAGATACAATGGCATATGAGAATTGGACAAGAACAGGTGAAGGAGTTCAGCAGGTTCCTGAGTGTTATATGACTGCAAATTTTGGTGTTGGGGAGCTCAGTGCCTATCGTAGTGGTGGTATCCAAACATCATTAAATAATGGCATCTTGTCCTCCAGGTTAAGAGACAGCAATAAGGTGCAAAAGATGTTTCCTCAGCCTTTGCCTTTCAGTGGGTCAAGTTTCCTTATTCAAAACCACCAGTTACATAGAAGGAATGACAAAAATGAACTGATAGGTGGTGCTGATATACCTACAGTTTCTGGGCTCTCAAATTCATTTGTTCCTGCTCCTGCAACTGCTTTTTCAAGTACCGATTTTATGGTTTATCCAAAGGTTGAAAATGATATACTTCAGTATGATAGGTCTTCTCATCACCTTGATAATTTCAAAAAAGCTTCTTTAGAAAAAATCATTCTGGTTCCTCAGGATCACCACACTGATGTGAAGGGTAGAGAACTGCCTGTCTCATTATCATCAACTTCAATGAAGAAGCAGTTCAGCTGTGCAATGTTAGAAAAGGGGCAAAAGCACAGTTCTTTAAAATTTACTGGTTCTCGCCTATCTACAACCACTCATCGAGGAGCTTAGCGAAGCTTGTTGCCTCAAAGAAGCCATAGTGAGGATGATGATGATCTGTGCATTCTCGAGGATATAAGTGCACCTGCAAAGGCAAATCCATGTGCTAATGGCAAGGCTCTTGTTGCTCTACAGCGTACTACAATTACTAACTCTTTCATTCCAGCTGAAGTGGGACAAATGAGGCCGAAGTCAAATGATGAGCTTGTTATTTATCGAGCTGCCTTGCAGGTGAGGACTAATAGCTGGCACTATTTCAATACACACGTGTTGCAAGAACTGTGCTCTGAAATGTTGTCATACTATTTTTGCTGTTTTAAAATTAATATTTATCTTTAGCTGTTTCTCTGGTAATTATTCGCACCCACTTGAATGCTTTTTTTTTTTCTTGTATATCTTTATTGATAATAGTTCTGTAAGTTACAAAGATGGGAGTTGAAATCCTTTAAGCATGTGCAATTCAAGGGATCTGTTGGATTCTTTATTTTTATGCTGACCAATTTATTGTTTGCTGTGTATGTGGATGATCAATACAGAAAATTCCTTCTCCTGACTTTTAAAAGCTGTCTGTGTTTAAAGTTCTTTATGGTGGAACATGATGACACTAAATGGGTGCCTTTTGTGCCCGTGAGAAAATCTGCCCTTTTTCACGTAAAGAAATAAATTCTGATTGGACTAAGGCTGTGGTACCTGTTGCAGGATCTTTCTCAGCCGAAATCAGAAGAAAATCCACCCGATGGTCTTTTGGCTGTTCCTCTATTGAGACACCAGGTTCAGCACTGTTTGATGGTTTATGTTTATAGGAATTATAAGTTTCGATTTTCTAACTGCAGCATGTACCTGAATTTATTCTTCAAGATGTGGAGATCACTAATATTGTACTGAGGGCGTCTACTTGAATTTTTGGTGCAATTGCCCGGGAATTGAGAGAATTAAATTTTACTAAAATAGTTTTGTTAGCGCCAAAAGAACTTAGCTGCTGACAAAATACATCAATGATATGTGAATTCTCTGAATTATTCTATTGGTTGAACATATTGTGTTGTCTGAAATGCTGTAGCTTATCTGAAGATATGGTTAAAAATAGTTACATTATAACTGGTACTAAGCCAATAACTCCTTTCGCTGAAAACATCCTTGTGGAACTTTGCATATGCTTGTGTATTTTACTGCCCTAGATTATTGTTCGGGTGTTTCATTTTTCTTTATCTGCTTCTCTATCTCTTTTTCTTTTTTCATTTATTCATATTGTAGTTTATAGCAGGCTGTTTATTAGCAGGCTGTTTAGGTTCTCAATGCCTCTTCCTCCTCCTGAAGAAGAATTAACCAGGGGAAAAACAAGAGATAAAATGTATTATATGTTGAATTGGTGTGAGGAATTATCTGAATATTATCCATTCAATTTACACGCAGCGCATTGCTTTATCATGGATGGTCAAGAAGGAAAAAGCTGGTGTACCCTGTTGTGGTGGGATTCTTGCTGACGATCAGGTAACTTTTTGACACTTTAAACTTCTCGATGTTTCATCTGTCTACATGAGAAGAATTGCCTTCGAAGTGGTCACCCTTTTCTTAGTAATCTTTTTTCTTTGGGTTGTTGTAGGGACTTGGGAAAACTGTATCAACAATTGCACTTATACTCAAAGAAAGGTCTCCATCTTCGAGAGTTTCTACAGCCATGGCCAGACAAATTAAAACGGAGACATTGAATTTGGACGATGATGATATTTCATCTGAGCTTGACAAGTCAAAGCTAGGTGCCTATTCTTATCAAGTCAATGATAATTCTAGCACAGGCAGTAAAACTTCTATGCATACAAAAGGGAGGCCTGCTGCGGGCACCCTTATCGTTTGTCCTACCAGTGTCCTTCGTCAGTGGTCTGAGGAGTTACACAATAAGGTAACAAGCAAAGCAAATCTTTCTGTCCTAGTATACCATGGTAGCAATAGAACAAAGGACCCTATTGAACTAGCAAAGTACGATGTGGTGGTCACAACTTATTCAATAGTAAGCATGGAGGTCCCTAAGCAGCCTCTTGTGGAAGATGATGATGAGACAGGAAAAGGAACTCATGAATCACCTTCTAGTAAAAAGAGAAAATCTCCTTCGAGCTCAAAGAAAAGTTCATCAAAGGCAAAAAAAGAAGTGGAGAAGGAATTGCTTGAAGCCACTGCGCGCCCTCTTGCAAAGGTGGGATGGTACAGGATCGTGCTGGATGAGGCTCAAAGCATCAAGAATTACAGAACCCAAGTAGCTAGGGCTTGTTGGGGTCTTCGTGCTAAACGTAGATGGTGTTTGTCAGGGACACCTATCCAAAACGCAGTTGATGACCTTTACAGTTACTTCAGATTTCTCAAATATGACCCATATGCAGTGTATAAACAATTCTGCTCCACAATAAAGTTTCCAATCCAGAAACATCCAACAACCGGGTACAGAAAGCTGCAAGCAGTGCTTAAGACTGTTATGCTTCGTCGCACTAAAGGTGAATATAATAACTTCAGCATGTACTTTTCCTCTATAAGCTGCATACCATTTTAGACAGGCTTGCTCCTTACATGGTATAATATGATTCACTTGTGGTTGCATCTTTTTTTTTACGCCAAACCATTCATGTCTATTTCTATTTCAGTACTGATAAAGGGTAGAGGGCCTGCGAGCACTCTTCTAGCTCCTCATTGCCCCAACCTTTCTTTTTATACTTCCCGCATCAGTATTACATGATTCCAAGTAAAGTACTATATGGTGCCCAAATTATGTTCTAAGTTACAACTTATCTGGAAAAAAACACTTATGTGCTGTAAGTTACAATTTTCCTCCTCATCCTTCACTTTATTCTGAGTTTATCCTCAATTTATCACTTCTCTTTTCATATGGTCTTTAGTGTCCCTCCAGTAAGGAAATTGGAGCTAAAATCTGACTTCATGTGTGAGACACGTGATGTTCACTTGGGTAATTTTGCTTGAAATTGTTATTTTAAAATGATTTTTTAAGGAAATAGAAGTAACCAGGAGAAGAGAAAAAAAGCAAAGAAGAGAAAAAATTAATCTTTCTGACTGAAAAACAAGAGGAAAAAAAAAGGAAGGAAAACGAACAGGAAAAGTATAAAGTGGAACATATGATTGCCACAAATCCAGGTCCTTTTCTCCATGCAAGGCTCCTCCATGGCTTCAACCACCTCTATAGTCAATCCTGACTCCAACATCTACAGCAAGTCCTGCCCACTGTTTAGTCAACACCACTCCCTTGTGCCCCAACCTGGAACTCCCCTACCTGAGTTGAGCAATAAATATGCAACCTCCTCCGCCACCCTAACTTCAAAATCAAGAAACTTGCATCCGTCTAACACCCGCACAAATTCTTAATCGAGAAAGCCAAAAGTGATAAGCAAGCAAAAAATGTAGAGGATATAGGAATTCCGAGAGTATCAGACCCACCATCACAGTGCTGGGGGACCACTTGTAGATATTTGTTTAGCGGCTGCCGCTGTGGTGATTCAGGCAGGAGAGTAGGGGTAGGTGCGGGGGACACATGAATGGGGAGAGGAGAGGGTGAATAGGAAACAAAAAGCTTGAAGGAGAGGGGGAAAGAGGGGAGGGGGAGATGGGGTTGTGGATGCTGCGATTTTCAAAACCATACAGCTAAATGGGATGAGCGAAAAACAGGTGGGTTTGGTGGGACATAGAAGAAAGCAAAAGTTTTTCTTTTTCTTTCCTTTTCACTTCTTTTAGTTAACTGTTAAGGTATTGTGTTTTTTCAAAGTTACACTTGTAAATCATCATGCTTTACTATGATTTAGCACCAATTTGGCTTCTGGCTAGGATCATCTAAAATTAAAAATGTTATATTGATGATGCTATTGGGACAAAGTGATAGGTAAGGACGAAATTGTAGCTTCCAACATAAGTTGGAACATGTAAGTGATTTACTCCAAATTTCCTTGTATTCTGTGCATTGTGCAGATGCTAGTAGGGACCTTTTGTCCATATTAAATTTTAGAGATGTGTCCTAATAGAGTTTGTACAGTAAGGACTTTCTTGGTGCGTTACCATTTGTTTGCGGTATAAGTTAGTCCTCCATTCCCTGTTTGCTCTCCTATGCGTTGCAGATTCGTTCTTGGAATTATGCTTATTTTTTTAAAGTAATTTCAAAGTTTCTCTTTTTCTTCTTTGGAAAGAAAAGGATCATATGGTCTATTTGGTTCATCTGAGCCCAATTATTGTTCTTATCTTTAACATGTTGCGCACTAATGTTTAGACATGCAGCTTTGTTCGACTTGTTTTGGCTATGTGTGCTTAGATTTTCAAATGAAGTGCTAAAAGTCATTTGCTAGTCAGCTGTTTGTATCTATGAGGTGCTTGTAGTAATGAACATGACAAACTCAACTTGGTTTTCTGGTGGTCATTGTCCACTTTTACTGTTGTACTGTTTGCATGTCTGACTTGTCACTTTAAGCGCACAACTCTTAAATTTCTATATTGAGGATTAACGCTGTCATTATCTGATCAGGTACATTTATTGATGGAGAACCCATTATCAACCTTCCACCGAAACGAATTATACTGAGAAAAGTTGATTTTACTGATGAGGAACGAGATTTCTACTGCAGACTTGAATCTGAATCACGTGCTCAGTTTGCTGTATGTTTCGACGATATTTTATACCCAGTCTTCAAGAACTTTGGCTTTTGAATTCTTCTCTTTCTCTTAACATATCAATTTATGGACAATTCAGGAATATGCTGCTGCCGGGACAGTCAAACAAAATTATGTCAACATACTGCTGATGCTTTTACGCCTGAGACAAGCTTGTGATCACCCTCTTCTTGTTGGAGGGTCCAACTCTGGTTCTGTTTGGAGATCATCTATTGAGGAGGCCAAGAAATTACCGCGAGAGAAACTAACTGTTCTTTTGAATTGTTTGGAAGGTTCTTTAGCAATTTGTGGCATTTGCAGTGTATGTTATCACTTGGCTCTTCTTTAATATATGTTTATGTCAATCTTATTACTCCTTTTTTTGTTGCTGCTCCTTATTTGGCGGCTTTATACTTTAGGTGGTGTTTTTAAATTGTCACCTCTAGCTTTTTGCTCTCTGATCAACTGTTATCCGCCTCAGCTTTTCCCTGAAAAGAAACAACCCCATTGAACTTAAATGTTTTTATCTATTTTTTGATGATACATCCTCGTCTAATTTGAAGGAAGAGTGAACCAAAAGTATTGGGGTTTTAAGCTACTACTTTCAGGTTCTATATTAGCTAAGGATAAATTTGTGAATGTTACATGCACAAGCATTCATGCTCTGCTAAATGCATGCATGGTTCAGTTTAACATTGAAGCTGATCCACAACTAGAAAGGAGGATTTTTACAACTTAACTTCCATGTAGAAACCTCTCAGTTATTAGGACACTCAAATCAATTAGGCTTTGTTGCATTTAAGTGGAGTAGAGTAGAAGGGCTGGTATTTAAGTTGAGAGGGTAAAGAGGCATCCACCGAGTTTAAAAACCGTGCGCCTCTGGGACTCTGGGACTCGGGGATTTTTTGGTTTTTTTCCATGCAATTTGCAAACATCAACACCAAAAGTATCATTATTATATGTAATGGGTTTTTATCCTTATGATTGTAGCATTTTTAATATCTTTGTTCCCTGTTCTGGGTCGTCTATTAAGAATCTGCAATTTTGAGGTTAATGGTGAGATACAACCAATAGTGGTGCTTGCCTTTGTTAAGCTAATATAACTTATTGCCATTTCTAGTTACAAACTTGAACTTGCTTTGATAATGCTCAAGTGATTTGCTCTGTTCAAGGCAAAATAGAAATAACATTTGGAAAATAGTGCTTACAATTTGGTTGATTACGTACTACAGGTTATCAGAGAAATGTTGCAACAACAATTGCTTTTAATATGTGATACCAATTTTAAAGTAATCATTTCAGCCTATAATGTTTTCTAGTTGTCTGCAACTTTACTATTTTGATCTGTCTCTTACTACATTACTCTTTATTTCTCTTGTCTTGGATTTCTCTGTTATGGATCTCCTTATTTCTTCCTTACCTCCTTATGCATTTTGGTAACAATCTTGTAGGACCCCCCTGAAGATGCTGTTGTAACAGTTTGTGGACATGTCTTTTGCAATCAGTGTATTTGTGAACATCTAAGCGGCGATGACACTAAGTGTCCTGTATCAGCTTGCAAAACTCAGCTGAGCGTTTCTTCAGTTTTCTCTAAAGCAATGTTAAGTGATTCTCTATCTGATCAGCCCAGTCTGCAAAAGAACCCCGACTGTGCTGGCTCTGAAGTGGCTGAAAGTTCAATTTGTAGCCCATATGACTCATCCAAGATTAAAGCTGCTCTTCAGATGCTGCAATCTCTGTCTAAACCGAAGGCGTGCACTATGAGGGACTGCATTTCAAGATCAGATGATGAAGGAACTTCTCCGTCAGAAAATAAATGTGATAATCATGCAGAAGAATCTAGGATGAATACAAGTTCCAAAGATACAACCACAATCGTTGGAGAGAAGGCAATTGTCTTTTCTCAGTGGACGGGGATGTTGGATTTGCTTGAAACTTGTCTGAAGAGTTCCTCAATTCAGTACCGTAGACTTGACGGAACAATGTCTGTTCTTGCTAGAGATAAGGCTGTGAAAGATTTTAACACACTTCCTGAGGTTTTAACATTTCCATCTTTTTGGTGTTGAATATTTTTCTATCTTTTTAAAATCCCAGGACTAAAATTGAAGTTTTACGCAGGTATCAGTCATGATTATGTCTCTGAAAGCTGCAAGCCTTGGACTGAACATGGTTGCAGCTTGTCATGTTCTTCTCTTGGACCTTTGGTGGAACCCTACCACTGAAGATCAAGCAATCGACAGGGCGCATCGGATTGGACAGACCCGTCCTGTTTCAGTTTTGCGGTTGACTGTAAAAGATACAGTTGAAGATCGCATATTGGCTCTTCAGGTATTACTTTATTTGTAGTTTTGTTAAAGCTTTTTGTTCGTACTTCATCGTAAATTTGCAACACGCCTGAAGTGTTTCTATCAATATAATGATAAACATGGATAGTCATGATCTTCTGCTGAAGGACTTGGATGTCAGCATATGCAGATATGCTATCACTGGGTTTCATTACTTGTCCTAGTTCAAACATAGTCCAGTTTGCGGTTTCCTTTTCTGCATCTTTGCTGGTTTCTGACTTCCTCTACATTTGAGAATTCTAATGTGGTATCACCGATTTTCACAGCAAAAGAAAAGAGAAATGGTTGCTTCTGCATTCGGAGAGGATGAGACTGGTAGCCGACAGACTCGTCTCACTGTGGAGGACTTGGAGTACCTTTTCAAGATTTAATCAGCATCTCATTTTTTGCAGTAACCTGACATTTTAATGCCAGCCAGCTTGGGCTGTCTTAAATTTTTTATTTGGAAACTGGTTTAGCAGCATACATAATTGAGGCTTTGGTTCTTAGGTCCATAGTATTGACAGAAAAGATGACCTTACTAAACAATGATTTTGAGAATACCTTCAAACATTCATATGATCCATTTTTTATAGCTATTGGTTACCTTGTGCAGAGGTTGGATTTTAGTCGGCTACACCCAAATGAGGATGAGACTTTAGATGAGTCTCTGTAGATTCTTTGCTTAGAAGATGTAAATGATAGTTCCTGTGGCTTCTGCCATGTTTCTTTTTTCTAGGATAGGATACTTAGGAGTACAATGTATTAGTAGTTTAAGTTCTAGACAGTATATTACTTCTAGGTTTTTGGGTTGTAAAATTCACCTTCAAATTTAATTTAATACAGAACTATGCCGTCATGGCAATTCTTTTTCATTTGAAGTTTCTATAAATTGCTTGTGTGTTACTGTGGCTTATACCTTGGATGTAAAGTTCTGGGATCCTGCCAATTCTATTCTATAACATTGTGGTTCCTCCCTGTGCCGAAAACTTAAATGGCTGACGGTGTTTGACAATCAAGTCAAGGTAGGGGACACACACAAATATAGTTGTACATTAAGGCGTCACTTGGTTCACATGCTGGTTATGCGACGATTATAATACAAGTCTGTCTTTATTGATCATATGGATTGCTTTTCGTGACTTCTCTTTCCATAGGCAGAGATTGCAGTCTAACCAGCTTTCTAACTTTAGGGGACCGGAATCAGTCTTTTGATGAATTGTTTATGCATTAATATTAATGAAGGAATTCTTTATGCGATAAATAGCGGTATGTCTCCCCCCACCTTCAAAAAGACAACAGAGCAAAACGAAAATATGTATTTAGAAAATGATTTGGTTTTAATTCTTTTTTTGTTTGATGTGCTAGTTATTAGTAGGTGTATGATGGTGTTTGCTTTGGGCACAAAATTTTCCCTTTTGAGAATTCAATGCGTCACCATGTCTAATGGAGGATGGGGAAGATCAAAGTATGAGATACCAACACGGTACGATCGCTTAAACGATCCAAATCTCTACTTTTTATACCTCTTTGAACTATGGACCAACCACAAAATATAAGAAAGTAATAACATTTGCAGGGTAAGGCTGCGTACAATAGATCCTTATGGTCCGACCCTTTTTTGGACCCTGCATATAGCTGAAGCTTTGTGCAGCGGACTGCCGTTTCTTTAATTGACATTTGACTTCGAGTCAAAAGAATCGTTATACTCTAACATGGAAATCTTTAGACATTTATAAGAAATGCATTATAAGGACGATAAAACTATGGGAGTAATTGCAATGGGCAATTTGGAAATAGTTTTCCTTTTTGATTTTTTTTTGAGTAGGGGTGAATTGATATTGTTAAGGATGAAACATGGTAACAAACANATGCATTATAAGGACGATAAAACTATGGGAGTAATTGCAATGGGCAATTTGGAAATAGTTTTCCAAATTGATCCCTTTTGAGAATTCAATGCGTCACCATGTCTAATGGAGGATGGGGAAGATCAAAGTATGAGATACCAACACGGTACGATCGCTTAAACGATCCAAATCTCTACTTTTTATACCTCTTTGAACTATGGACCAACCACAAAATATAAGAAAGTAATAACATTTGCAGGGTAAGGCTGCGTACAATAGATCCTTATGGTCCGACCCTTTTTTGGACCCTGCATATAGCTGAAGCTTTGTGCAGCGGACTGCCGTTTCTTTAATTGACATTTGACTTCGAGTCAAAAGAATCGTTATACTCTAACATGGAAATCTTTAGACATTTATAAGAAATGCATTATAAGGACGATAAAACTATGGGAGTAATTGCAATGGGCAATTTGGAAATAGTTTTCCTTTTTGATTTTTTTTTGAGTAGGGGTGAATTGATATTGTTAAGGATGAAACATGGTAACAAACATGGTCCCATGGTCTAGTGGTCAGGACATTGGACTCTGAATCCAGTAACCCGAGTTCAAATCTCGGTGGGACCTTTTCTTTTTGTACAGTAACTTTTTTGTCAAGTGCACAAAATTAAGTTTCAGCTATAAAAGTAACAAAATTAAGGCACATAAGGGAATATTACCCTCTTCTCCTCATCCCAAACAGAAATTCAATACTTTCTGATTTGCAACTCTATGAAGCTGTAGTGTAAGTGTAGTATTTAATCCTGTAGTATTTATTGACATGGTCCCATGCATAATGCTATAATGGCTACATATCCAAAATAACCTTATACTCAAGATTTCAAAGCCACTAAAGTTAAACGGGGTTGATTGAAAGTACACACAACTCTTTTGCTTCAAAATAGTCAGAAGTCAGAACCATTAAGCATAAACATGTTCTTTTTTTAATAGTGGTGTTTGGGCTTCTCCTAAATACCTGCTATATACCACCAGCACGGGTATCAGATAATTCTGTCGAAACAGATCTAGATAATTCTGCGAACAAGGAACCAGCCCTCTTTAAGAAAGCTTTGCCTTATAGGTGCTGCCTACTCAATCGAACAATGATCAACAACAACGACCTAGTATGATCCCACAAGTGGGGTTTAAGGAGGGTTGGACATACGCAGCCTTAGCCCTACCCTAAAAGGGAAGATAGGCTATTTCCGATAGACCCTAAGCTAAAAAAGATGGAAGTCACTCGAACAATGCTCAGAACACAAAAGTGTGTGCAGTTCCACCCTCTTCACACAACCAACGCCCTGAAAAGCACGGACGAGCCACATGTAACGAAACTTGCACGTGCGACTCTGGCTGGGATCCTGGTATACTGTACTAATATGTGTAGGTTCCGTAATAATATGGAAGTCACTCGAACAATGCTCAGAACACTAAAGTGTGTGCAGTTTCACCCTCTTCACACAACCAGCGCCCTGAAAAGCACGGACGAGCCACATGTAACGAAACTTGCACGTGCGACTCTGGCTGGGATCCTGGTATACTGTATTAATATGTGTAGGTTCCCGTACTAATATGGAAGTCACTCGAACAATGCTCAGAACACTAAAGTGTGTGCAGTTCCACCCTCTTCTCCAATGCTGAGTCACAACCACGGACGAGCCACGTGTAAAGAAACTTGCACGTGTGACTCTGGCTGACTCTGGCTGGGGATTCTGTTATACTGTAATAATATGTGTAGGTTCCCGTAATTCGAGACAAATAGGAAAAAATCACTGAGCATATGATTCATCCAAGATTCATTCATAAGCAAATATGCAATCTTGATATCTGCTCTCTATAGAAAGCTTTGCCATCTGAAAAGTACTGATAATCCAATCTAAATCAATAGAGAAATATTTTTAAAGTTTGCATCTACCACAAATATGTCACACACTAATGAACTAGAAATATGATTAATATGAACTAGATATGAATAGAACTCAAGTACAGATTTCTCAGCACCGATCATTCAACCAAGCCAATATGTCACTACGAACAATCTCAACATTTTCATCAGTCTCTCCAAACAACAATGAATGCATCATACCCTCATAAATCTTCAATGTCTTGTCTTTGCATTTAGCCAACTGATACAATTCTCTACTCACTTCTGGATCAGTTACAACATCAGCACTTCCATGTAAAATCAAGAATGGTAAATTCACATCACATAGTTTGCTACTAACATAATCTGTCACACGCAAAAGTTCAAGTACAGTACCTAATCTTGGTTTTCCAACATACCTATTAGGATTCATCCCACCAATAATTTTCTTTTCTGGGACTTTTACAGATTTGTCCAATAAATCAGCTGTTGGTACAATAGCCAAAGTAGGTGCAAATCTTGCAAGAATAGTTAAAAATTGTGGAATTGGCCATCTTGGTCTAACTTTATCTGAAATTTTACACATGGGGGCTATTAAAATTGCACCATTAAACATACTAGGACTTTTTAAGTGAATCAAAAGGCAAATTGCACCACCCATTGATTCACCATATAAGAATTTAGGCAAATCTTGAAATTCAGGATTTTGGGTTAGGACAAAATTGTAAAAAGACAAACAATCATCAATAACAAAGTTAACATTAGGTACATAAGCTTTAAGACCTTGTGATTGGCCATGACCTTCCAGATCAAGGGCAAAACAGGCAAAACCATTTTTGGCTAAGTGAATTGGGGTTGCTTGAAATGTCCAACTGATGTCATTTCCATAGCCATGTACCATAAAAATGATGCCACGTGGAGGGTTTTTTGCAGAGGGTAGCCATGATCTTGTGAATAGGGTTAGGTTTCTTGGTGAAGTGAAAAAGGATTTAGTAGATTTGATACCTTGGAGGTTATAGTAATCTTGTTCTGTTGGAGTATTTCCCCAGTAATAGAGTTGGGTTTGAGGAGATTTGTTGTTTTGGTTTTCCTCCATTATAGGTAGATGAGGTCTTGATTTTCCCTTTGTGTGGAGGAAATCTCCGTTTGGCTGTGAAAAAGAGTGGTCTATATTTTTTGTTCTCTTTATTATCCTTAAATAAGGTTTTATTCGTATTCGCATTTAAAAGGTTTTTTTTTGTATCTCATCCGGTGTCCGATTATAGTAATCTTGTTTTGTATTGCATTAGAAGTCCGATTATATTCAAATTTGCGCTGCGTAGGGCTCCATTCGGGGGGGAAGCGCTCCCTGCCAATGTTTTTTTGGTCAAGGACAAAGTTCCCGTGTGAGCATAAAATTTAGAGTTTTTTCAAATTTATTTTCAGATATTTATTTGTTTATAAATTTTAGTAATTATTTTTTGGCAAATTTTTAAAACAAAATCTTCAAATCTCAAAAATAGTTTTTTTAATGGTAATTATCAAATTTTACTAACAACAACAATAACAACAAACCTAGTATGTTCCCACCAGGTGGGGTCTGGAGAGGGTAGTCCGTACACAGACCTTACCACTACCTAACAGGTAGAGAGGCTGTTTCCAATAGATCCTCGGCTCAGGAAGGGTAATAAGAAGAGGAGGGAAGCAAGAAAGGGAGAAAGAGGGAATAGAAAAGAAAAAAAGGAGAGATAAAAGGATAAGTAGTACCAAATAATAGCAACATAGAATACAATACCTGATGCGAACAAAACCACATAACGTAATAAAAATCTAAGAATATGAAGGGACATGCGTTCTACTAATACTATCGGTGAGCAACTAAAAATTACCCATTAATCTCCTACCTTAATCCTCGACCTCCACACCCTCCTATCAAGGATCATGTCCTCAGTGAGCTGAAGCAGCGCTATGTCCTGTCTAATCACCTCACCCCAGTACTTCTTAGGCCTACCTCGACCTCTTCTCAAACTCGCCATGGCCAACCTCTCACACCTCCGAACAAGAGCATCAATGCTCCTTCTCTTAACATGTCCGAACCATCTCAGCCTCGACTCTCGCATCTTGTCCTCCAAACCGGAAATTTACAA